TATTATTGTTGTTGTTATTATTATTATTGTTGTTGTACTATTGTCGTTTATAATTTGTACAATTCACCTCCCTGTGGTTCGACCCCGGTCTTGCCGGGTTATTTATTACTTCGACACTCCTGCACTTGGGAGAAAACATCAATCTTTTAGTTGTGTCAGAATGCAAATGATTGTCTATTGCAAAAACAAGATATATTTGTGTATTATTCCTTTATTAAAGGCTAATAAATATTGGGATTTTCATGTAATATTTGTGCTTTTGATTTTGTTCATTTACTTGTATTGTCTATACTTGTCCCTAACAAACAAGAAATTAAGAAAAACATTTTGGATGAGTGAAACTTTTTGGATATAGACAAAACAAGAGTAGATTTGGTGAAGAAAGATTATGTCTAGTGGGAGACTAGGCTTCTTGCTACATTAGAATTGAAATTTTGATGAAAAATTTGATCCTATAATAAGAATGAAATAATTTTATAATTTTTTTAAATAAAATTTATTATTGAAACTATAATTATAAAACCTGACTGAAGAATTGATGAAAAATAAAGCTCGTGTTATGGGTTAACATAATTTTGTTTTTAGAGAATCAAAACAATATTGTTTTGATTATTTTTTTCATAAAAAAACAAAGTATTAATGGGTTGATGGTTAAGATTTGACTTAATTAGACTTGAATTAATTAGATCATTCAATCAACCTGAATTTTTTATCAGATTAATGATGTTTTTTTTTTAACTCAAAATAGTCTAGACTCCAAGTAGCCAGATGAAGAGCTAGCATGTTATTCCAGTCTAAGTTTTATAACCATGCTTTAAACAAATAAGTGTCCCGAATCTCATTTGTAGCTTCATCCTTTACCTTAAACTAAAAGGTATCAATATGAATAATACTTATTATCTTTCATTCACTTTTCTATACGAATAAAGAAGATTTATTTCTCCGTCGTTCCCCTTCCTTGTCCAAACAAGAGACGGTAAAATTTTAAACAAACCGGTAGTGTATAGAATAGGGAATGATGAATATTTCAATTAGTTCAAGTCTCCATATATAGGGTGCGGAACGGTGAGTATTCCTAAAATAGTGGAGGTTTTTTAGGGCTACTGTGCATTATGACAGGCAGAACGCGGATGACCAGATTCTTACCATATGAAAGGGAAAAGATCATATATCGTTCATAGACTACGTAAGCATTGCGCATAGCTATCCATGGTAAGAGCGCGTGCTGTTGAAAAGGTGGGGTTGCGCCTTATTGTTGGAAGAATTCCTCCATCGAGCAAGTGTAAACAAAAATATAGTTTTTCTAAACAAGAACAAAACTTTTCTCTCTTGTTTCCAACACTCTTCTCCTCTATAAGAAATTTTCCACTTTCCTACATGTACAGGGAATTTCCCTTCAACCTGCAATCTTTAACTCACATTTCTGTTCCCCTATTCCAAAAAAAGAAATGAAAAAAAAATGTAATTTGGTCACTGCTCTCCTCCTTCTTCTCTCTTTAGATCAGCAGGAGGTAAAAAACAATCCATTGACAACCCACATATATTAAAATCAACTTCGTCAATCATCCATGTTTCCTCTATTTTCCTCTTATGATTATGTGATGCTCCATATCTGTGAAGTGTTGCTGTAGTCTTTCCACAGTGTGCTACATTGATGCCTTCAATATATCTATAATCTCCAACCACTGACTCCATACATGTCTCCCAAAACACATTATTATTTCCTTTAACCGGTTTCATCTTCACTAATTTCGTATCCTCGAATTTGACAAGGAGTCCTGTTCTTTGGCTGAAGTAGCCCCATATTATATGGTGTACAATTTCTGTATTGGAAGAACTTTGAGCTTTAAGGTTGTTCGAGTTGGTCTCGAGCTTGAGTACAAAGCAGTCTTCATTGCTCACTTTCTTCTCTGTAATGCTTGCTGCTTCTAAGAACAAATTGGCAGTGCACCTTGGATCCAATCCCTATTGAGATCACATCACAAAGAAATTCATCTTCAATGCATTTGACATTTTGAAACAATACAACCAAAAAGATATTAAATCAATAGTTTTAGATTACGTAAAACGATTATTTTGTCACTAGAAAGTAAAACATTCAGAGAAGGTTATACCTGGAAGAACCGCCGCAAGGGTCTTGGAGGACCTCTATTAGCATGAGAGGCCTGAGAAGACGACTGGTTCCAAGCAACCTTGCCATCACTGCCTGCACTAACCTTGTAACCAGAAACAACTAGTTCTAGGTACCATAAATCAGGGTTTTTTTGCCATAGTACAAATCCACCAACCTCAGACTTGCCTTCTGCGTGCACACTGTCATCACCTTGGTGCATTTCTGATGCAGCCATCTTAACCTGCCCTACTGCATACATGCTCTTCACTGAATTCAGCGCCACTGGTCCTCCAATTGCTGCTATATATTGCTGTACTATATATTTTGCGGTAGAAGCTTCCTGTTCATAAAATAAGATACTGTTCTTAATACTCACATTTCTAGTTCAAGTTGAAGGAGCTGAGATACGTCCTCATCAGCCTCACTGATCAATAAAAGTAGAATGAAGAATTAATGTTTTGAGTTAAGCATGAAGCCTAAAATAAAAAATGCTGAGGGTTTTCCCCTTTTGATTGTTTCTTTCGCTTCCATATCAAATGTGAAATGCGAAGCAAGCAAATATCCTTATCACCATAGCCTACAGGTGAATTAATAACAAGCAAAAAATCCCTATTGTTCTCAATTTCATCCACCAAATTTCAACAGTTTTCAGCTATTCCTCTGCCACCCTGAATAGGACCTTTACATTTGCTGGGAAGGTTTTCAAAATAAGAAAACATGCACACCATTATAGCACGACAAGATTTTCAGATAATCTCTCAAATCATACGAATATATATTTAGTCCAGCAATGAATTTCATTAACTCCTCTTTTTTTCCCCTTAAATTGTCACATCCCTTAATTAGGTACCTTCCATTTTCATGTTCAGATTAAGCCAGAAAAGAATCTTGAAGAGGAAAATGAAAGAGTCATACATACAATGGAACAATCTTTGAGAGGACGAGTGAGTGGCTGGTCAGGATGAGCCTGAAAAGGGATAAGAGGAGAGCCGACAAGCTTAAGCAATGCTATAAATTCAGTATTTGATTTAGATTGGAGATGGGCTGATTTATCAGCAGCAGCTTGAGCATTCATCAATGCACGCATGTTTTGCCAACGGGAAGCTGAATTGTTGCCCATTTTTGTGAACATCTCTTCCGGTATAGGTACCTCCAAGACGGTGTCAAGTGCATCTTCCCTATCATAATTTGGACACAACTTCCTCATAGAACTCCAAGAGACAACCTTAAGAAATTGAATCCAAAAGAACACAGCCAACAAAATAGAAAAGGAGGAAAATGAAATCTAAATTTTGATTGAAGAGCAATGAGAGGGAGATGAAAGGCTGCGTCGTTTTCTTGTCTAAGGAACAGCCAACAAAATAGAAAAGGAGGAAAATGAAATCTAAATTTTGATTGAAGAGCAATGAGAGGGAGATGAAAGGCTGCGTCGTTTTCTTGTCTAAGGTGTTCCTTGCGCGTAGGTGTCGTGGGTGCACGATTTTAGGGGCTTGTTTGATTTTGAAGTTTGCAGAACAGAAGGCACCGCGCCATCGGATTAGCCTCTCATATCTCCTCCATCTTTTAACATGTCACCAATAGCAGCATGACACATGGAGTATAAGAGAGAGAGAGTAGATTTAGCATGACCCTAATCTCTTTCCTTGATCGATTCCAATCATGTTTAATGTTTTGTATGTAATCTTTTAGCGAACCAAAATCTACACTAACTTGATTTCTCTTCTAACCTGTATCTTTGGGTTGACTCCTTGTTGGCTCATGGCTTGACTGCAAATTGCCAACCATAAGGGTTTTCCTTTTTATAATAAACGAGCGTAAGTCCAAAGCCATGATCATAATTAACGAATCAATCCGCACAGCAGCTGCCTTCATTAAATGTAATGACAAATGCGTACTTTCCAATCATGTCCACAGGAACACATTCAGTGTAAGGCTTTAAGCCCATACACTCCATTATGCTGATGGGTGATTCACAATTCATCCAAAGCGGAAATACGGCATTTGCCTACCCTGCTTGCTCGTCATGAATCGATATGACTCAATACAGGTGCTGGAGGATGAAGAGTTTATCCCGCTCTGTTTTTCATCATAAACATTTTTGATGAACAACACTTCAATACTATTTTGTTCGTCTTTTGTATCAGGAAAATAAAATTGCAAAGTCAAATTCTGATTAAGTCAACCTTTTAGATACTATTTTGCAGTCCACGCGGAAACATACATCTTCAGAAACAGAAAAAGCAGAGGCAAACTAGCCCTGAACCCGGACACTGCATTTTTCTGGCAATCACCACTGCCAAAGGCGAAAGCATCTAAACAAGAAATTAAGGTTTTATTGTTCATGTGTTACAATATCAATTATAAAACATAAAACTGACAAATCTAATAAAGTTTCTTGAAACACAGAATATCATTTGCACAACATGTGCCAAGTTATGTCCACTGGGAGTGCCCCTGCATATCGAGCATCTCGTCCAGACGTTTTAATCTCTCTAATCCTTCACTGATGAGAAAACGAATCCTTTGCTTGTCATTGCAATGCCGGTTATTCTCCATCTCTTGTCTAATTGTTTGTCTCAGGTCAGCTGTAAAACCCATTAAATTTGAAACAATGCTATAATTCATAGTTGCCTGAACTTTTCTCCCAGTAAAGAGTTGTACTTTTCGGACCCATTGAAGTCTTATTTATAAATGATCGTTGTCATTTTAATAATTGATTTTCTTTCTCTGTAATGACGATGCATGAACCCTTAAAACGGAAAATCAAGCTTATAACAAACCCAAAAAGAAAATGTTGAAAGAACAATATAACAGCCTTCAAAAGAGAATATTCCCGCAGTCTGTAAAATCCTTAATCAAATTGATAACATCAAGAAAAATTAATCAATCACAAAATATAAACTTCACCTCTAGCGTCACCAGGTGCTCTTCTTGAAGTCCTTAGTGCTTGCCCATACAGCTTCAGCACTCGAGCTCGGAGAATGAAGTCCTGCAAACTTAACGAGAGAACCATAGCTGATCCTCTTCCTCAATTAAATACGCTTCCATGTCAGGTAAGCAAGGAGGGTTTGGCATCGAACACAGAGAAATTTAACAAAAAAATAGAGACAAGGAAAGATCGAGAGAAATTGAAGTCTTACCAGAAGTACAGGGGGAGGAGTCGCCGTAGCTGCCGCAGATGTCGAGTGGATCCGTCGATTAGACAACTTAGCGGAAGAGGCCGAGGATCTAGAATTTGCTCAACCCAAAACAACTCGTCGTTTGTCTCCCGTTGCACAACCAACTTCTCCTTCTGTTCCAAAAACGAGCAACTTGTCGTTGTTCTCAAAACAAAGAAATGGAAAGGGCCAACCCTATAAAATATCCTCCAATTACATATGTAATCTCATTTCGCAGTAAACAATTTTTTTTATATCAGTTTTATCCTTAACTCTTCAAAAATTATAAATTAAGAATTTCAAACAATATCATTTTATAAAAAAATTACTGTTCACATATTGAAAAATCAAATGTTTTCGAATAAGATTTATATAAAGAAATTAACAATATCCTAGCAATTTAAGAGTATATTTGATATTTATTCCTTGAAAAATGAACAATTTATTGTTAGAGTTAAAATAGAGCAAGTTATATTATCGAGTAATTGACACGATCAAAAAATTAATGTTTTCTCCCAAATATAGAAGTGTCGAAGTAATAAATAACCCGGTAAAACAAGGATCAAATCACAAGGAGATTAATTGTATAAATTATAAATAACAACAATACAATAATAACAACAAAAATAATAGTAATAGTAATAGTAATAGTAATAGAAGACGAAGAAAAAGAAGATAAAGAAAAAGAAAAAAAAAGAAGTTGATGAGAATTTTGAGATAGAAGATCAATATGAAGATTAAACAATGATAACAATAAATATTAAGGTTAGAGAATCCACTAATGATATTTCAAACAAGTATAGTATAAACTCTCATTATTTAACTGGAAACCACATACAAAGAAGATTCCAATTGGATTATAAATTGTTAACATGATTACATTAGTTATCTTATTTGAATAATGCTAATACTTGTAAAT